GCTCATTTTAGACTTATAAATTCTGAGCACTCAGAAATTGTTTGAAGAGCCGAAATTGACTTGCGTGCATTTGCATTTGATTTCATTGAGCAAAAGATCAAATCAAAATCTCACGCAGAACGAAAATTGGAAATTGAGTTGTATGTGCATGAGAAATTTTTGTGTGCGGTGCTTTTGGATTAAATATTTTGGTGAAATCTTGTTGCAAGTGAGAAGTGCTTGTAAGTTAAAATATGTAAGTGCTTTAGTAGTGCATTACTAATTTCTATGCTCTAAGTGTTAAATGATAAAAATTGACCAAGCGGTAAATTAAATGTTCATATATTTTTTTTGTTTTCTCAAAAAGAATGTCGTTTTTATTGGTTGCATATTTTATTGCTATTTTTATTATTTAATTATTAATTTAATTAGTGTCTTTTTATTAGGATTACATTACAATACAATATACTCGTAGCTTTCTATTTTTGTCACGCAGCAATAATTAAGTAATTAAACGTAATTGTCAGCTTTGTGTAATAGTTATGTATGTAGAATATGTTTGTATGTTTGTATGTATAATTTGAAATTTATTTTCTTACTAGTTGGACTACAATACAACGCATTTGTGTTTAAGTTTAGTGATTAAATTAAAATTATTGTTAAAGTTTTAATTAAGTTTAGACTACGAAACATTTTTCACGCTCTTAATTTAATTGTAGTAAGTGGTTAGTAGTTAAATGGTTGATTAAAGCCTACTAATGATAATATTTGTATAATTATAATCATAGCTTTAGGTATAAATTATATTTATTAATGTTCAATACAATACAATACAATACAGTACATTATTTATATACGTAAATACCTATGTAGTATGTTTGGATAATTACAGATTTTCATGAAAACTACTAGTTTAATAAAACATGTAAATGGAAACCCTTACGTAGAGGCGCATTTTATATGAACTCTTAGTTGTTGTTTTTTTTTTTTAATTTTGGCAGATAACTACTTTTTCTGTTTAATTGTTTGGTATTTACGTGCCTTCATCATTCAAGTGTTCAGGAAGATCATAACTTTCATTAGCAGCAAAATGAATACTATTGCAGTAAAAGCAGTGAAAGAAAAATTTCGTAACACACTTTCATTATTTATTTTTTTGGCTGTTGAAGTAGAGTGCATGAATGCTTTTGGTGGCTCTTTCAAAAACGAACGCTACTCCTAGCCAATGCCTCAAAAATTTGGCACGCTAAATCCATCTCTGCAGTCGGAAATCAAAAGTTGGCTCAATATTTCTTTCTAACCTTAAAACAACCCAGACATTATTTGACTTCAGTTTTAGATTCAGACCCCGGCTAAGTACATTGCGAGTTATTCTACATATTTCCACAACTCTACTACTGTAGCCATCAAGTGTGAGGAGTTTATACGCTTGCAAATATATTTTTTACGAAGGCTAAAATGGAAAAAGAGCTAGACTTTGGCTGGGGAGCATTTTTGAAATTGAAAATGTGATTCAAAAAACCTAGAGCTGAATTATATAAGTCAGTAGCAAAAATTCCCTATACTCAAGCTGTCACCAAATTCAAATTAATACGGATAAGAAATGCTCTACTGTAGGTAATTTTTTTTTTTTAGAGCGTTTCGAGGCGATCTTAATTTTTTGGGCTAAAGCTGGGTTTCACTAGGTCGAGGGCAGAATTTGCGGACATATTTTGCTCTAAATTTTCCATCGATAACCCTTGTCTACTCTAATAGTTTGGATTACTTTCAAGGCTTCAAGAAAAGTTTATGTTAAGAACTCATATGCCAGGTTTCCACGCATACTTTAAATTACAAATTTTTTAATAATAAATTTGGTATTTAAAAAATGCCGATGCAATTGTGTTAAAAAAAGTAAATAGGTATTTTCCAGATGACATTTTTAAAATAATAAGACACAGATCTTTCTGTAGTAAAAATCATTAGAACCATACTTTAAAATAGATAAGTTAACGGCCCTAAATCTTTTTGGAACCTTCGCGCCATTTTATGGTCTGGTGGAAATTGGGTATTATATATCGGTTAGTAGATCAACAAATTGTATGCCTTTATATCAGCGCCAGGCAAAATACACACGCACACATAATACACTTAAAAGTGTTTACAGATGACCAAACGAAAAAGGCATCGATATTTTGAAATAGTCATCTGTTGGGCAAAAAATATTGTCTTTTCAAAACCAATCCACACCAAGTTGCAAAAAAGTTTGCCTTTAAAAAACATTTGCAAGCGTTTAACTTCCTCGACACTCTTTGCTCTTGTTGTCCTTCCATTTTTGCCCACCAGCACTCAACTTTTCAACTAATTTTATAAGCAATTGACACTTAGCAAAAGTTTTTACAACCTAAATATTATCGCAGCAAAAACATTTGCAAATTCACCTCAAACGCTACTTAATTTTCTGTTATAAATTTTACACAAAATTTGGCATTTTCTCTTTATCAATATTCCAAAAGACTGTACTGTATTGATTATATTATTGTTATCATCTTTGCTTTTCAAAACAACACATTTTCTAGCATTTGCTTTGCTTTTTTGAGTCAAGCAAATTTTGTTGCTATCAAATAAACAACAACACTCTGTTACAGCAAATGTGACTTAAATTTAACTATATAAACATAACTTATTACGAATTAAGTGTTAAGGCAACTAACAAACAATCGAAATTAACATTAATCGCACTTAAATTTTGTACGGGTGTATGTATGTATGTAGCAAGTACTCTCCACACGCGTGTAGGTGAGTGAGCATTGTTGCTCCATTTAAGCCAATTGAGCAAACCAAATACAAATACATTTACAGTTATTACAAATTAAATTTAACTAATTAGCGTCACACTTAAGGCTAAGTAAGCACTTAACAAAACTTACAAAACATTGGCTGCAAACTTAACAACAAACAAGTTACAAATTCTTTCTGGTTCAAACGAATACAGAGTAGATACATTACATATACAATTTTGGATTCGTGTGTGTATATGTTACTTGCTATGTATGTATTTGTGTGTGTGTAAAATAAGGCAGAATATAACAGCTTGTTAAGAAAAATTAGTTAGTTTGTAAGCTTTATGTTTTAAGCAAGTCACTTCCGCATTGCTCTTTCAGCTTTTAATTACGTTTACGTTACACTTGTTTTTAGCTAAAATTTCGCTTTTATTTATATTTGCTGCTTTTGTCTTCTAGCTACAACTACATTGTCGCGCACATAGCAGGAAATATGCTGCATTTTCGCACTTACAAATTCTAATGACATTATTATTTCTATTTTTTTATTATAGCTAATTACATATAGGTATTTGATAATTAAATTATTAGTAATTCTCCAAAATGGAGTTGACACATTCAGACGCTCTCAGTTCCACGTTCATCGTTATCCTCTACATATTTGCTTGCTTTTCATTTCCTTTCTCATGTATAGTTAGTTGTGTCTGTGTTAATTAGTTTAGTTGCATATTTGTTATTCATTTCTCTTTGCTGCTTGGTTTCTCGTCTCGTTCTTTATTTGTTGTGTATTTAATTAAACGCTAAATTCTCAATCGCTGCTAGTGTTGCTACTACTACACTAGGAGTTATTCTCACAGTCGTCCAATTTGTGCTTCATACGAAAATTACTTAGAAGATCGGCGCAATTGTTGACCATCATCAAGTAGTCGCCGTTGTCCAGATTCGCCTGTTCTGTGGTTGTATAGGCGTGACTATGTTGTGAGTGAGTTTTGTCATTTCTGGAAAATAAAATAAAAAATTTAAGTTTATGGAGTTTGAGGGAAAATCAATTAATACTGTCCGGCCTCGGGGAAAAAAAATTGTGAGAAATATCTACGAAATCGTGCACATATTTTAGTTTTGGCACAAAGTAGGGTGGTATTGAAAATGTGCGAAATTTGGCAACTAAATCGCCTACCTCTCATATAAAGGAATACTTTAAAAAAGCAAACACTCCGATTTTCAAGCAACTTCGGATTATAACTTTCCAAATACAAAAACTGTTATCAGTAGGTTAAATGGCTCTTGTCTCTAATCCCTTGTCTAATCCATTTCCATCCCTTACTAAAGTAAGCAGTAAGGATTGCTAAAGTAAGTACAAATGATTAGACAAGGATTCGTCAAGTATTAGGGACATGCGCCACTTAACAGTAGTACCAGTTTTTGTTTTTTTTTTTGAATTTTGAATTGTGTCGTTATTGCACAGGACCATCGATATGTATGTACATGTCTATGAGCTACTTTGGCACGTATTTAGCAAATATAGAAGCTAAAATCTTAATCGCAAAACTCCAAAGATTCGAGAGAAAATCACCATCGCATGCTACTCACTTATTTTGTGTAATGTTTGTTAACATATTTTGCGTCATAATCACAGCATTCTCCAGTTCCTTTAACATTAATGAATCCTCACAATTCTTTAGATTCGCATGCAGTTGCATGACCGTTTGTGTTGTTGTATATAAATTGTTAATCACGTTGTGCACTTGTGATTTCGCTACAACAACAAGAAAATACATTAATTTTCGTCCGCCAAAAATAAAAAAATTACTATTTAACTTACGATCAGAACTTTCTAGTGCGCCAAATTCAGGCGCTTCAAATACGCCACGTTGCTTCATTACATTTGGACTGTTGAGCACTTTGCTTTTATGATCGAAAGTTAAATTACGCGGGCGTGGTGGCACTATTGGTTTGGAGTTGGACGAACCGCCCGGCGTCTCTTCGGAGCTGGAATCGTCTTGCAGTGGAGCGGCTATAGAAAGATTTGTAAAGCAATTTTGTAAAGCAGTTCTGATATCGATCAAAGAATTAAAAAAAGTTGCTCACCATTGCTGAAATTCGGCTGTAAACCTTTTCGCCGATTGTTATTTGTGTTAGAATTCTTGTTTGCATACTGACGATTGGCGGCTAGAAGTGGAAGATGGGAATTCAATCATGGGAATAGAGTAGTAATAAACGGCTATTTGCTGATTGAAGTACTTACCGGTAGGTCCATTAGTACGATTTGAGTTACTTCCGCTACTGCGACCACGATTGTTGTCCTCATTTTCAGAATCACTCTATAAATCATATATTGTGGATTTTAGTAGTGGATAGTTTTCAACAATACAAATTTATAATATACAAAAACTCTCCCTTAAACTATTAGATTACCCTGGTTTACAGCAAAAACGTTCTATGGATGCCACTATCCAATTCCTATATAGAATTTCTCACTGATTCCAAAAATCGAGTTAATTTTTAATTCTATGGATAAGTTTTCTAGATATTTTCAATTTACCGTTATTACGGAAAATTAAATAGAATTTGTAGGTTTCTTCTTTGCCCAACCCTAACAGCGCCTTGTTTTTTTTAGTAAGTTGTAGGTATTCCAACTCTGTCTGGTAATCTTATACGACCCTGGGTAGCTGTACTTCTGCTTAGGTTTCGAGTGGAATTTTTCGGTAATTCCTTTTTTGATTTCCCTGAGAGAGGTACTCATGAAGAGCGAGTCGGACGATTCTAAATTATTTTGCGCCTGCTAGGTCATTGAGGACTAAGAGGAGGCAGTGAATCAAGCTAAAGACTTGTCAGAATACCGCACTCCGGATGGCAATGGCATGCCAGACCACCACGTATGTATGTACAAATGTACATAGCGAGCAGCCGAATCAGCATTTTCTGAAAGCATGTACTCGCCGGCACGTCAGAAGTTATCTCTATTAACTCGTGGACGAGGATCCAGACACACATAACTCAACCACTGGACCCCATATTTTTTATTGTTTTTTTTCTGGTGCTATTATTCCAGGTAAAAATCCCAGAAAGAGAGATTTCTGGGTAAATGGATAGCCTCATTTTGATCCCAGTTATGCACATTAAGGACTAGATGGGTCAAGTATGGCTGACGGAACAAGTACAGGCCTTTATGGACCCGACACTAAACTTTTTATTTCAGTCGTCAGATAGCCGCAGTATTTCAGGCCGAACAGTGAGCATTCTCGAGCGTGTTAATAGTAATCTTTTCTGACAGCTAACTGACACCTTCTCCAAGCTCGTCAACAAGTGTCTTGTCATACTTTAATTCTCGACAGCAAAAACGCGGCTACACTGTGCTGGATACGAGGCCACGGCGGAAGTGAAGAGGAAACGCGGTGGCCGATGAATTGGTGAGGAAAGAGTTATCGGTTGCCTTTGTGGAAAACGAACCATTGTGAGGGATCAACAGGTATTCTTCGAGACAATTACCGAGTGGGTAAACTTTGAGAACCTTTTCGCTAGAAAGGATATAAATCTTTTGAATAGAGTTAGTGCCAGGTTACTCAAGGGTACCTAAGCAACCATAGCCACCTGCGTTCTAACATGCACTCGACTGATCTGTGATGTGATTGCTGGGCGTTGGCCGCATTTAATTTCATCGACAGTCGAACCGTTTATTTTAAAAAATTTCCGAATAAAGGCACAGTTTGCATTTATTTATTAAGGAAACTTGTAGTATCTTGGGTGGGACGAGGTTGGGGATATGCCATACGGATACCAAAATATTCTATGTTCCAATTTCCCTTGTTTTCTTACACCCAATTTATTAACTACAGCAGCATTACTGTTATGAAATATGGCCCTTTTCATGTTTCCCTTACAGTGACAATTTTTTATCTGAACAGGACTAAATGAATCGGTTAATTGCGAAAGGGAATGTGTCAGAATCCCTCCGATTAGACAAATACGATGCATTTCAACAGAGCCTCCTTAAATGAACCGAACTGCATCAAAACTGTCTGATTTATTTCCCTTGGAAATTAACAAGATTCAAATATAAAATTTAGATTTTGAATTTCTCTCAAGTGTTGACTTTGCTATCACAAAAGAAAATGGTTTTGCAACTTACCGCTTGATTTAGTACACCAATCGATGAACTCGATGCACCCAAACCAGTCGAGCTTTTCAGTTGTAGACTATTGCGCTTGCTTGCAGACCTTGTCGCTGTGCTATTACGATAAACAACGCCTGGATTTTTCAATTGACTACCATTGGATTTTCCAGCTGCAATTAGAAGAGATTAAAAGTTGCATTAGACGACGATTTCGGTAAAAAAATATATATGGCAAACTACTTACATTTACCCATGTTGCCGCTAATTCCCATATGCAAGTCGCTGAGCGAGCACGAGCGGCGCATTGATGAGTCTTCCACGGGCATTGGCAGTAGACTTTTGGGATTACCTGTAATGGGAAGGAGAATTATTTAGAAAAACAAATTCAAAAGAGTGTATGGATAATGGCGAAGTCGGGTTATATACGATGAAATCAAATTAAATTGAATACGTAAAATTAAATTAAACTAAATAAGATATTAAGGAGAAAAATATATAAACAAATTAGAGGTAATTAAAACAAAAAATAAATAAAAAAATAATAAAAAAAATAAAAATGTGTAAACATAAATAAAAGAAACGAGGTCATATACGAGAAAACTAAATAAAATAACAACAAATTAAAAAGTAAACGAAAAATAGCACACAACACAATACAATACAACACAACACAACACAACACAACACAATACAAAACAACACAACACAACACAACACAACACAACACAACACAACACAACAC